CAGTTGGTGGTACAGGACAGAGGCTGCAGCAGCAGGTGGTGCTGCTGCTCCGCAGCCTGGGCTCGGATTAGAGTTCTGAGGATATGTGCGCGCCCACTGCGCTGCTGAGTGTCTGGTGGGCACAGTTATGTTTGTGCTTGGGGGAGAAAAAGGAATTCCCTCTACATTGTTTTTCTAATTCACTTTTGATAAGTACTTATTATTATAGATAAACAAAAGCATCGTATATATTTAAATATGTGATTTGTAACCACAGCAAACTGTGAATTTCACTGCTAAAAGCCACTGGTACGTTATAAGCTAGTCTAGTTTGCCTTTAGTTTAGTTTAGTAAAGTTTTTAGTGTAGCTGTTAGAATTTTCAATAAGTGGAATAAGATGCTGCCTTATTCATGTGGCATAACAAAGCAACATTACCAAGATGGGTTTTTTTAAATCAAAATTTATATATGTCATTCTGTCTTTTAACTTGGGTGGTAAAGACTAGGCTTAATTTAAATGTATGTTATCAACACCGTGTCCCGAAATATGTTATAAGTCCTATAGTACTGTAAACACTACAAATGAAGGACACAGTGGCAAATTGTTTAATGCAGGAGAAAGTCACCAACACCTACATTTGTGAATTTGCAAATACAACTTTTAACACCTAAAACGTCTTTTGTAGATTAATAAACAGTTAAAATGCTGATAGTTTAAATGTTATTTGTATATTTGTGTATTTTTCCATGCTTTACATTGCTTAGATATCTTGTGGAAAAACATTAAATAACTGTAGCATCTGAAAGAAAATATGTTAATGATGTTACCAGGTGAAAGCAGAAAAGGTCTACCACTGGTTTGACAAGGCTTTTATGAGCTCTCCTCGGTTTCAGCATGTTGTAGCAGTTCTCCACCAACTGAGGGCAGAGCAGGACAAAATATCTCAGGCAAGTTGAGAAAATCTGAAATGAGAACTGCAGTACCACCATGCACTGTGTCACATTTCTACCAGTGAAGATGACCTACTACAACTGTGATGTTTGGAGCGGATGCAGGCTGTTTCCATAAGCAGTCTGTTCGCTGTCTGCACCGTCACTCACTGGGATGAGCACAGATTACTTCACATCAAAAATAGTGCTGTTTTATGGAATGATATTTCCAAACATTTTTTGTACTTTTTTTGTACATCCAGTTCCTCTTCGAAGCTTCCTCTGTAGGACGCTGACTATTGCTCTGCTGCTTCAAGTGAAAACAAGCTTCTGTAAACACCAAAAGGGGAGAAACCTGCTCCTTTCAGTCACAAAAGCAGGATTTAGAAATGCATAACAATGACTGCTAGATTTAAATGAAGAGAAAACCAGGTCAGAACAAAGCAATAGAAATCAATCCAAACTAAAGGATTTGATGGTCAAATTTATGTCATCATGATATATTACACCACTATACACTAGGCATACTGTAATTGAAATACTCATACAGATGATATAGTGTCCTTTCCCTGCAGAGTAACAGGGTCAAAACAGGTCAACATCTGTATGAAAATATTAAAGCTGGACTAAAACCTTTAATGACAAAAAATCTTGGCTGTGTCAAGAAAACACTTAAGTAAACCTCATAAACATTAACTGAAACAGAAACTGAGCTGCTGTCACGTTATACTGGCAACTGCACTGAGCTGAATGCACTTTGAAACTGTCTAATCTGAAGAATGAACAATAAAAGTAGTAGACTCATTTGCCATGCAGATATGAGTATTACAGTACTGATAATACTGAACTCTTGGTTATAGATAAGTTGATTTAAAAGCAGTAAATACACCTAAGAGGTAAATGCTCAAGGGACAGAAGGATAGTGATTAGATCGGGTTCATACAGAGGCCACACTGGATGATTTTTATTATTTTGATAACACCGGCTCCACAAGGAATTCATTTAAATAACTTTTTTTGACATATTTTAACCTTGCATGAAATTTTTTAACATTAGTGATTCTTGAATTAATTTATATTCTGTCAAGACTCTCTGAAAAGCCCACGAGCTGTAAAATGTATGTCTATCTCCATGGAGTGTTGAAATTAAACCCTTCAGAGCTGCTTCAGATGGGTTTAGATGACACACCTGATACGTGATCAGAGAAGATGAGAAAGAAACGGGTTCATTCTGACTTTATAGTTTATATAGAAGACAACATTCAAAGGTGAGTGGTTCAGGTTCATGAATGTGTAGGAAGAAATAAAAAGTTATGTCATCTCATATAAACCCCAGGTCTGAGTCTGAGCTGGGACCTTTGTGAGATGACATAACTTTGTATTTCTTCCCACACATTCATGTGCCTTACCCCCCTGAACTGCTCACTTTTGAACAATTTAGTCAAGGCAGCAACAGCCTAGATAAAAGAAACTTACCAAAAAAGCAAACAAAAATATATCACATCTAACTCTACTTAGAACTGTCTGATGAAGGTAACAATGTCATCTGAAGCAGAAAGAAAATGGCTTTCACTTATTTCAGTTATTATTATTATTTATACCAGACACATGAGGTTGAACTACTTTTATCAGGGGTGTAAGAGAAGTTGAGGCAGTGATGGAAACTAGAACAGATCATGATACTTTCTCTGATTGGAATAAGAACAGCTCTTACGGTTGTGATAGAAGACAGTCAGGGGATCGCCAAAGTCATTGCTACCCATCCTCTGGGCACCATGAATGTCTCAATCAACCCACCCAAGAGGCTTTCAGCCTGTGGTGGATCCACACAAGCATGCTGCTAGCAAGGCTAAAATAATTATACATAACTTTGTGAGGCAGAATTGTTCTTGATCCTGTTAGTCACCTTGTGATCCCTTAGGAGTCTGGGTCTCTAAGTTGGAAACCACTGTGGTAGGGAACTGATTGAAACATGGAAGAGTGGATATTTATTTATTGATATTCATAAGAATTAATGATAATATACAACTGTTTTGAATTTAAGCATAAGCACAATGATGGGTGGAGAAATAGCAGTAAGTTTCTGTTTGGTTCAGGCAACAATGCTAATAAACTTGAGCTGTCTACTGGCAGTGACATATTGAGTAAAAAGCATCACTCGACTGTCTGCCTTTGAAAGAAATACAAAATGAGCTCTAAATCAATCCTGTCCAATAAAAAGTGAATACTAACGAACACAGCAAATCAACGCTGACTTATCATTATGACATCAAAGGTCACTCTAGGCTTCCAAATTAATACATTACCAAGTCTCCCTTTTGTGCCAACTGGCTATCTGCTGTCTGATAAACACTGGACTGCTCAGTGATCAGCTGGGTTACAGGAAGGTACTGTAGTTGTCTGATACAGCATTTCATTTTTGTCCTTTGAGACAGACTCAGGCATTCTCACAGATCAGGTATGTGTGTTGTGTGTTTATACCTGCTGGACCGTTCAACTGGAATTTCCATCAGATGCTGCTTTAATGTTTAAATTATGACGCTGACTACAGACAAGGTAAGACACATCTGTAATCGCGTCACTGGATGCACAACTACTGGTTTGCTCATGTAAGTTAGAGAATTATTAAGACAATGTCTTTTCCTAGACAATATGTTTTAAAGTACAAAAAAGCTGATGTGAATTTAAGGAGTCTTTGTCAAAGACAAGTATGGGATTGAACACTGAAGCTAACAGTCATATTCTTTAAAATCAAGCAGGAAGAGCACAGACTGGTACAATAGTGTCTCTGCAGAGAGAGTGAGGAACACCTTGCCTTTAAAACCATCAGTCTGAGTAGTTTTTTATTTCAGGTGTATGGTCGGATGGACCTCACTGATCTTCTGCTCAGGAACACAGATGAAACCATCGGTTACCACAGCCAACTGTGGGCTATCACAGCTTATGATGTAAGCATGGTGGTCATTCTGCACAGCTCGCTCCAGAACAAAGTCAAATGGGAAAATATAATCATAGAAATTCAATGAATGTCATTATGAAAATCTGACTGCTGAGTGTGATCTGTATTCTCAACAAAGTTCATGTGAACTGAATCCTACAGTGTATAGGAGCTCACTTACAGTTCCATTATGCTGTCATGTGATGACATACCCTTAGCCTCCTCCTCAGACCCTGAGCCCTGTGGGAAGTACAGCTGATGAATTCCTGGACGAGCTGCTGGGTGGGAGCGACTCTTCCTCAGCTCCGACATCCCCCTCATGGTCACTCTGCACCATTAACAGCAGCAACAAGAAGGGTCCCCTAACAGATCCCATGGATAGCCCGTACCCACCCTGCTGCACAGCTTTTCCAGCCTTACAGGCTTTCTCTCAGTCTCCATCATATGGAAAAATGTCTGATGTTTCCATTGATCTGGGTATGACTACATTTACAGTTTAAAAAAGCATTGACATTTTATACTGGAAAGAAACATTAGTGAGACTTAGAGCTACAGAGTGAACTGCAAAACAGTGGATTTTCAATAGTGAGCACAATGTGATGCACAAACATCAAGGTGAATAAGGGCAGTGAACAGATGCATATAACACAAAGACCACAATGTGAAATTTATCTGTTTATACTTGCAGAACAATGAGGTATCAACAGCTATCAAGCTACTGCCTGAGCCTATGAGACAATAATTTATTTTCCAATATTTGAGGATTTTGAGGGCAGCGCTTTTGAACAATGGTCATTTTTCACAATGCTGATTCTTGACCACTTTGTGCAAAAACAAAAAAACCTTCAAATCAGCTATGTAAACCAGATCTGCAACAACCCAAGAGAAAAGCCTAACATGTATTTGTAGGGTGTTTTGTAAAGAACAGCAGTGTGCAGCAGTCACAGAAATATAAGACACGTGTGCTTTGTTTGAATGGCACGTGGTGGTAATTCTGTGACTCATCAGCATCTGGTTTACTGGTTCAATCTGCAGGCTGGGGCTCCACTGACCTCCAGGAGCAGTGTGGAATTGCATGCTACATCAATAGAAATGACAGCCCCCTGCTGCCGTCCAGTCAGACTGTGAAGGACCTGCTGTTATCAGACCTTGGACACAAAGTAAGGGGAGACCAGATGAATATATGTTAAAAAAATGACATTTTGTCAGTTTTCTAACCAGTTAGGATATTAAATAAAAGAATTCAGTCTCAGTGGTCTGAGTAAGGACACTTTGAGCTAACTGTATGGTCCCCTGCTGCCCTGCTCTCAAAGCAAGAGAGCATGCCATTACCCCAGTCCTTAGATCTTTGCACTGGCTTCCAGTCAAATGCAGAATTCAATTCAAGGCCCTTCTTATTGTTTACAAGTCTCTCAGTGGTCTGGGCCCAAAATACATCAGAGATATGTTTCCTGAGTATGAGCTCCGTAGTTGTCTCAGATCTACAGGGACTGGTCAGCTAGTGGTGCCCAGAGTTGGAACTAAAGAGGGTGAAAGTGCTTTTAGCCATTATGCTGGAACCAGCTTCACCAATAGTCCACTCTTCTGCCTTCTGTGGGAAAGCTGCCCAGAGAGTCTTGTTCACTGGAATATTCTGTCCATCTGGTTCACAGTCCCACCAAATCCCCCAGCATTCCCTGCAGGAGCTTGTACTCAATGAGGATGAGAAGAAGCTTCTGAATAAAGAAGGAGTAAACCTGTCCAGCAAATGTCCCCTGTCCAAGGTACATACATGAACAAGACACATGCTTATATGTATGCAGAGCAGATATGTCTACACATATATATAGATCCACTCACCCTACAGCATCTAAATCTGTTTTCCCAGTTACACCCCTGCCAGTAGCCCTCCCTCCAACCCAGTTTCCTCTCACTTACCCTTTTCTTCCTCATTTGTTTCTGTCCCTATTCCTCCCATGTCTTTCTTCTCCCTGACAAGTTTGAAGAGAAGGTTTTGAAGAAGATCCGGCGGAAAATCCGCAACAAACGTTCAGCTCAAGAAAGTCGGAAGAAGAAGAGGGAATATGTTGATAATCTGGAGGGAAGGTAGGACCCAGATGCACTCAGCATCCTCACTCAGCATGTCATTATCCCTGCATATTCCTTGGCCTGGAAAATTAAGCTTTTTTCTGGCACCATTTCTTGTACTCTGAAGCACTTTATAATGAGCCTGCATTGTCATACACTTAATAAACTGTACAGATGGGACGAGATTACAGATAAATAACCAGTTTTGTCATACAGTATGTCATTGCTGGAAAAATAGACTCCATGAAAAGTATTTCATTTGTAAATACCTGGCGTTTATCATGTCTCTTGAAAAAGCTTTTTTGACTCAGAAAATTCACAGTGGCAGCAGTTTGTTTGAAATAAAAACAGGGGAAAAGGCTTCACAGAGATACAAAGTTAATAGCTATCAGGGGAATTCGGTGTCAAAACAGCACAGAAATAACAGACAGTTAACACAAATGTTGCCAAAGTGGAAAAACATGGGTCTTGTGGATTATTACTTTATTTATCCCCTAGTATTGTTCATTATAATTCAGTCACACTGAGAATTATTTTTTGACACAGCTTCACATGAGAAATGTGGATTATAGAATAAACAAACTATAAAGAACTACTAACCTGGACATGGTTTTCTAATATAACAACAAATATATTATGTCAGGTTATTAAGGCAGTAAAGCACTTTCAAAATATGATGAGTAAACTGCTTGTACTCTTGTGACTGTGCCCACAGACACTCATGGGTTCACACTGCTGCTCACAAGAGTCTACAGTCCAGTGCTCTAGTCGAGTCACTAAACCTTGAGTCCAAGTCACCAGTGTTCAAGTCTGAGTGACCAAAGTATCATTTAAGTTGGATCCGAGTTAAGTCCACATTACCACAGTCTGAGTCATCAAGGTCTACATTAAAGACAGCTGGTGAATAACTCATCATTTGCCAGTTTTTGGGTCTGAAATCCTGAGACCCCAAACTTTCTAACAGTGTATTGCATCACCATATTGCTCAGTTATTTGATACATAACAATCATTTATAGAAAGGCAGAGCGTACGCTTCGATGGAAGTGTGCTGGATACAGCATGGTGCAGGCAAACGGGTTTTAATTAATATCTTATGCCAAATTATTAGAGTCCTCATCTCCAACCTCTGAGTCTGAAAGCAGTCAATGCTCGAGTCCAAGCCCACGTTCGAGTCAGCAGTGCTCAAATCCAAGTTTCGTCACGAATCCTGAAAATAAGGACTGGAGTTGGAGTCCTGGACTGGAGCACTACAAGACTGCTACAGTCATACTAGCAGCTCCTTGAGGCAGCAGTTGTTGGTGACATTTCAGTCAAAAACACATGAATCTCAAGGTGACACTAGAGGAAAAGTCAGTAGAACTCATTCGATGGGGACCACGATCATCTAAACCCAATGCTGAGATATTTCAGTCTGAACCAAAGAGGTTGGCAGACTTACAAAATGGCATTGCCATGCTAGAACTTGCAGCAGTGCACAGTGCCATCAAAAGAATTTTGTCAGCTCCTTACCATTTATTGTTCATAAACAATCAAGGGGTATTTGTATTAATGCTTTGTTTTATTGATACTGAGCTTCAGAATAGTCATACTTTTAAAACACCTTTCTACGCATTGAAGTACACTCAAAGTGCTTTACACTACTTAGTGAATGCTTGTCCTTGCATCACTAGTCTAACACCTGCTATCACTGATTTACCTCAGAACAACAGAGTCATCTGTTCAAATCTGTGAACAGTTTGTGATAGCATCCCCTCGATATCTCATTCAAGCTTGAGCTCTGTTGCCTCTGAATAACAAAATGTTTATGACGGAGGTGAGACCGTCACTCCCACTGAGACGAGTCAGCATGTGTTGATAATTAAGCCAGCTGCAAGCAGAGCATATCAACAGGATATCATTATCAGTCATGACTGAGTTCAATCAGAGGGCCTTAATGGAGCGTGACTCACAGTGACTAAAAGAAACAAGAGAGACAGCAGAAGAAGATAGAGGTGCTGAGAGGTGGTCACTGGATGACAGAATGGTATATGAGATAACACTGAGCAGAAGGATATTGGCAACCAGAGAAATGAAGGGAAGACAATTTAGCATCACAACCTAGCATTATTTGATTGCCTCTCTCTTGTTTCCTCTCCGTCTCTTTCTGTAGGATGTCTGCTTGTAGCGCTCACAACCTCGAACTGAAGAGAAAGATCCAGCAGTTAGAGGAGACCAACAGGTGAGTCCTCAGAGGAGCTGCTGCTAATGAGTTTTGTTTCCGAATGATTACTTTCCACTCAAAAATGATGACTAAGGAGGCTCTGTATAAAAAAAACAATTAGTTTTAAAATGTTACACTGTGTTCTCTGCCTTCCTCTTCATTAAGTTTCTGCTCCTGACATTGGCTAACACAGTGCTACAGTGAACTGAAACAAACCCGAGGCCACTTACATGCACCTGGTGTCGTGCTGTTTTTATTCCTTGTCATTTTAGTTGCTAGTGATCACACACCTTACATGCACCTGGTGTCGTGCTGTTTTATTCCTTGTCATTTTATTTTCTAGTGATCACACACTGAGAAACTGATGCCTATATTTTAAGGAACCTGTGGCCAAGTGTGAGTCTCTTTCCTCTTTCTGTCTGTCTTTGTGTTGCAGTGCTCTGCTGGAGCAGCTGAGTCGACTACAGGCTCTCATTCCTAACTAACAGTTCCAGCAGAACAACACACAAAAGGACTTACATCCTGGTGAGATATACAACACACAGAGAACCACAGAGAGTTTGCTCTGTCTGCAACAACTGTACAATAGATACATAATAGTGAAATGCAGCGAAAACACTCCCAGTGCTCCACTGTTTACTGCTGTTTACCTGATTTCAACTAAGTATTTCAATAGCACTGACCTACATCTTTTGTGCAAAAGTGTATGTGAGTCATGTTGAATAACTCCCTTTATGGCTCTTCTTGTTTTCTGTGTTTGCCCTGTTTTAGTGCTGCTATCTGTTTTTTGTTCAGGTTTTGCTCCTGTCCTTCTCCCTGCTCATTTCCTCAAATCTTCTGCCAGACCCTTACAGCCAACTCAGCCAAGGAGACTACATGGAAACCAAAGGTCTGTAGGCATGCACATTTTCTCTCTCTTTCAAACCAAAGGTCTGTAGGCATGCACATTCTCTCTCTCTTTCTACACACACACATACTGTACAAACACACACTCATGTCTCTCCTCCATACCTCTTGCCCCTCAGTGTCATCCTGCTCCTTGCAGTTGATGGATGAAGTGCAAGATGTCCCTTCTTCTCTTCCTTCCCCATCTGTCTCCAGAGACTTTGAGGCCCTGTGCAACCTAACAAAGAAACTCTGCCACCAGACAGATCTCCCCATGATAGACTTCCCACCCTCTCATGAGCAGGATCACAGGCACCAGGACCATCACCAGTCTCCTGGGGACAATCCAGAGAAGTAGCAAAGCAGTGCAGCATCCAAATGTTTTACTCTACAGAGACTGGGTGAGGTGTTGGTGTGTTTGCCATCTGCTTCAACATACAAACAGCTAATTAAAGGATTGTTCCAAGACAAAGTCATCCACAAAGAGAAAGTTTATCATTTCACTCAGGGGCCAGGGAATTGTTGCTGACATACTACAGCTGCTATATGACCTGTAAAATAACACAAATATATATTCACTTCTATGTTTTACTATTAACTTTAATGTATATCATTAATTACTTGAGTTGTATTTTGTAACTGTTCAGTGAAATACTGATAAAGTACAAAAGAATAATTAAATGAATTCATTATAATCAAAAGTTGTTAGATGACTTCTCACTTCAATAAAAATTCAGAATAAGCTACACTTTCATGCCAGCTGTCAATGTGGGAAACTAGGCTGCAGTATTTGAAAATGGTGAGTATCATAATTCAGTTTTAGCGCAACAGACTTTGTCTTTAATGAACCATATGCTGGCGACAACTCTGTGTAAAGTGGCTTTTTCTACTGAGTTCAAAGAAAAATGCTTCAAACTATTTATTAATATATTTGATAGATAAAAACAGAAGCTGCCACCTGTCCATCAAACAATACCACTTCACCAATCCCGCTGTCTTCTCTGTATCATAGCCATTTTCATCTCTGCTCCTGTCCCTGGTACATCTTAATTCACACAGCTCATCTTCCCACCCACAAAACGAGGCCAACATCGAGGTCATTTTGAAGGTTATTTTTGAACTGCTGATCTTGATGCAGCCTCTGCTCAGTGTAATGAGGTGAACCCAGGTCAGACCAGTCCCACATGATGCCCTTTATGCCCTTCATGCGGTGAAATTTGACTGAGACTAACATCAAGGACACTGTTAATCTTATTTTAGTATTTTACCAGACGAACATCAACTAACTACAGCTAAGGCTTATGGGAATATAGTTGTTTTTGGTCATAACACACAATGCTAGTGTTGTGTTTGACACTGTGGATCAGATGATACTTATTTCTGGACTCACATCCTGTTGTGGCATAAGAGGCACTGTGCTGAAGTGATTTAAATCTTATCTGATGAACAGGACTTTTTCTATTAGTTTGGGTGGTTTCCAATCCTCCTCAGTCATCCTTAGTTGTGGGCTGCCCCATGGGCACCATTTTGTTTTCTTTGTTTATGCTTTCACTCAGATCCATTTTCAACAAATATATTTCTTTTCACTGCTTTGCTGACGATACTCAGATTTATTTGCCTCTGAACTGTTTTAATGCTTGGAGGACATTAAAGCATGGATGTCTCTAAATTTTCTTAATTTGAATAATAAAAAACACATATAGTGACATTTGGGCCTGTTAACACCTCAGAGTTGTTTATCTTTAATGGCTTCCTACTGTAAACCCTATGCTACAAATCTGGGAGTCCTCTTTGATAGTGATTTTAAGTTTAGTACAGCACTTTGGTCAACTCTTTTTTTCAAATCATATGCTAAACATGTTACATAGCTATGAGAAACTGGGGTTCTGCTGAGCATGTATGGTCTCAGTATTTCTAGACACCCAGGCTACAGCCCTGTTTTCAGCACTATAGTGTCCTCACTGCACACTGTTGTTCAAGAACTGGGGAGAAAACTTTTCAATTTAAAAACCAAATGATTTCCACAAACCTGAAAGAGGAGTGCAGCTATCCACAGCTGGAGTGCAAAATTAGTTGCTGATCAGCCTGGTTTATGCAGTGTGCTGTGGTGGTGTGTAATAAAGGCAGGGAGAAATTCAATCAGAATATCAATTGTGTAAGAGCTGAGCTGAGACGGTGTTAGCTGAAGGTGAAACTCGCTGCATTTAACATTAAACCTAACAAGGAATAAGGAGGATTTTATTTTGAAAAGATATCCATTGAGAGACACATTTCTTCAAAAAATCATTGTCATTCA